CTAAGTAGTATATGTGGATACTGAGCTTCACTTTTTAACCAGATTTTGAAATTAGCAAATGTTTTTTTCACTGCTAAGGGTAAACGTTTCCTGGAACATACTGTAATAGACTTCATTTGCTGTGGTTGAGATCTTCTGGTTGGTGACAACTAGATTAATAAGGGTATATAAGTATAGGAGAATCTAGGTGTGGTTTTTGAGGAGAGCAGAAATGGATTTCTTTTGATGCTTCTTTAATACTAGAAAAGGAGCAGAACAAAAAGGTTGAATTCAAACACCTAAACACTGTGAAGAAATTCAGTTTAGTTCTCTGTAAGCAGTCACTGCTTTAGGGCCAGAACATGCCTATATTTTTCAGGAGTTCATATCTTGTGCTGAATTTTGAAGCTTAGACCCATTTCTACTTAACACCACTTCTAACTGGTCAGATAGGGTTGTTTGTGAATGACATAAGGCTTGGGAACTGACAAGGAAGCTGAAGACTGTTAGCACAATGGAGTCTTTGCCCATGACTCTAGGGCTCCTAGGCACTCCTACAATACAAATAAATAATAATATTTTCAAAAATACTAAAAACTTTTTAGGGAGCTGTTGATTCCTTCCCCCTTTAGTGTTTACAGCATCTGTCATACTTTCATTTGGTCTGAAAATCTTCCTGAGTTCTATATGCTAAGTCACTTGCCTGAAATCCAGCCTGCCTGTGTGTGGTTTTCTTATTTCTTACAAGAGCTTTTTATTTCAGCTTTAAATAAATTCCAGTTAGAGGAATCATGTCACATTGCAAAAGAAAAGGCAATTACTTGCTAGTAGCAACTTGTTACAGAGAAACCAAAGAACACATTTGGTGAAAGAGCTTTCATCATCCTCATAATTAGAAACTAAGGAGAATGGGGGAGAGAAGGAGGGTTATTATGAAAATGAATCTTATAACTTAAGTTGGAAGAAGAAACCATACAAGTACTGGAGGTTGGATTCATGTTGCTGATTCAGGAGCAAAACAGGGTCATGAGCACTCGATAGATTACACTTAGTCCCATATGCTGTGGCTTTATTACGAATAGTTTGATTAAATCCTTTCTAATTAGAATATAGTAGTTGTATTTGCCTATCTGTCTTAAACAGAAGTTCAGTGCATTCTGCTAGAGGCTAAGACCCAGAGTTTAAAGGTATTTTGGTGTTGCTGTGCTCAGTGTTGCAATGCCTAATGTATCTAGGAGCCTACAATATCAAAAGGGATTTAGGCACTTAGGATCCAAAATCCCATGGACAGCTGATGGGAGTTAGGGTCCTACTTATCTAAATCGCTTCTAAAAATGAGATTAAGGCTTCTAAATCAGTTAAGTGTTGCAACATTAAGCTCAGCAACGCCTATGTATCTTGAAAAATTTGAGTCTGTGATTTGAAAAAAGCTCCTTGAGCATTTAAAACAGGGATGGGCAAACTTTTTGTCCTGAGGGCCACCTCAGGGTTGCAAAGCTCTGTGGAAGGCCGGGTAGGGAATGCTGTGTCTCCCCAAACAGCCTGGATCCCACCCCCTATCTGCCCCCTCCCACTTCCCGCCCTCTGACTGCTCCCCTCAGAACACCCGACCCATCCAAACCCCCTTCTCCTTGTCCCCTGACCGCCCCCTCCCGGGCCTCCGCCCCTAACTGCCCCCTGACTGCCCCCTCCCTGGGACCTCATCCCCTATCCAACCTCCCCTGCTCCCTGTTCCCTGACCACCCCCCCAGAACCTCCGTCCCATCCAACCGCTCCTGCTCCCTGTCCCCTGACTGCCCCCCGAGACACCCCCCCCGTTCCCCACCCCCTTAGCGTGCTGGAGCCAGCCATGCCACCACGCTGCCCAGCAGGAGCGGTGGGCCAGAGCACTGGCGACGCAGCACGCTGAGGCTGCGGGGGAGAGGGACCAGCAGGGGAGGGGCCGGGGGCGAGCCTCCCCAGCTGGGAGCTCAGGTGCCGGGCAGGACGATCCCACGGGCCGTAGTTTGCCCACCTCTGATTTAAAACGTGGGATTAAAACCAAGGGCTTGTCACAATGTGACAGGGCACTGGCTTGCTGCTCAGTAATGTCCCATGTGGACACTGCACAGCACACTGGAAGTTCCATAGTGCACTTTGGCATGTTGCTGTTTGAAATGGGTGTTTGTCAAAGCACATTACTGCACTTTCAGCGTTCTGTAGCAGCGTCCACATGGGATGTTACTGTGAGGCAACCTGGAGCACTGCAGATTCACACCCTGGCGTATGATGTAGTAATGTTTTCTGTAGACAAATCCTAAATTTTAATCCATTTCTCAACTGAACTTTTACTGCAATGAAGGGTAATCTAATAAAATGATACAACAAAGGGTTAAAGAGTCTACTCCATCTATGAACAGAGGTTAATGATCATGCAGTGTTGCTTAAGTAGTCTACCTAAAAAATATGTATGAAGATTAAATTTAGCTCACCATAAATAGCTGTAAACTGAATACCATGAGAGAACCCAGTATGAAAATATAGCAAATCACACCTAAACGGTTATTTAGTTAAAGAATTCCCAAAGGAGTTTTTGCAGTTTGCTTACTTGTTTTACTTACTTGTGTTATCTCATGAATTGTAGATGGCTAGTAGAGAAGATTTTGTACATTAGCTCTATTAGCATAAAACATAGCCCTCACAAGGTACATTTCCCCCTGCAGCAGGAGAGGAAATCTGAATTAGGCAGTTTAATTTAAAGCTTGATTGCAAGGTTAATGGAATCATCACACAATGCAGCTGAGTTTATTTACTCACTTGAAGAAAATTTGTGTGTGTGGAATAAACAGCAATTTCAATGCCTTTTTATTGAGTATTTGTTTGTTTTTTTTAAGTTTGTAAATTAACCACCTATGGTTTCATCTCTTCCATATTTATGGTTTGGTGTTTACCAGCTGGTTGCATAAGTTTGTTTCACATTGTCAGACAGAGCTACTTGATCTAAGGCTACATTAGATTCGTGCTCAAAGCTTCCAATTACTAGAGTGCAGAATATGGATATCCGAGTTGAGAAAAAAGTTTAATATAACTGCGTACAAACATTCCTTGTTTCTTTCTGTGTAGATAATTTGAGACCGACATCTAGCTAAGTTACTGTATCTTCCCGAATAGCTCAGAAGACTATATTAGTGAATGTGACTTTATCAAGAATAACTTTAAAGCTACTATTAAATATGATAAGCAAATATCAATAAATCTGTCTTTTTTTAAAGCCTTAATGAACGAGTGCTTATGAAACTATTTTTGAGTATGATTTACTTGGATTATTTCACTTTTATACTTTAGATTGAGATTGGAAAAATTAGAAATATTTTAATATGAAAAGTAAAACAGCTAAAGGGATTCTTGGACCCTTCCAAGGTTCTTCACACCTTGTCCTCTTGAATGCATCCTTTCAGCTCTGCTGGGGAGAGAAATTTCACCTCAATTTAAATTACATCCCCCCCACTACACAATGAAAGCTACTGTGTTGTGGGCTGCAGTTAAAAAGTGGTTCAATCTTCCAACATAAATGGGACCAAACTGTGTTTTAACTGTGTTTTTGAATCATGCTTCACGTTTGCAATGGCCAAGGTTGTAGCACAGTCCAGGAACACAATTATTGAAACTACATTTCTGCGGTACTGTGGGAGCAGATTGAGTTTAACTATGTCACAGAAGTGTGCCATGATGTAACTATTTCCTGCAACTCAATAGCATTTCACAGCATAGACAAGAGTCTCAGATAATCTTATGATGATTATAGACATGGGAATGGACCTAAGAGAGGAGATACACTGTAAAATACAGGAATTGAGAGTTAAACTGAACCAGAGCAGAATAAAATCAGGGAAATACAAACCACAAATGTAGTGATGTTAATATGAAAGTCGGTCAATGGAGAGAAACCCAATATTTTTAATGCAGTCACCACTAGGGAATCTTTTGGATAAATGTGTATAACTCAGCAGCATTAATTTTGTTTCACTAATACCATCTTAATTCCTCTCACTTATACCTGTGTAACATTATCTACTTCCATGGAGTTAATCCTAATTTACAGCAGTGTAAGAGGGGAATTAAGCCTAGGGACTTTTCCCCATCTGCTCCAACTCCATAGTAAAACTTGAAATAGAAACTTCAAATTTGCAACCACCTGTAGGTATCAGTGATTAAAACTATAGATGTCACTGGTTCTGTATTTTTACAGTGCCTTTCACAATGGGGTCCTGGTCCATAACTAGGGCTCCTAGGTGCTGGGGTAACACAAATAATTAACAAAAATTGTTGCAAGATAAAGATTTGAGCTAATTGACGCACACAACAGAATGAAAAACGAGAGACCTTTTGACAATGTCAAAAGACAGTGGCAGAGGACAGGGCAAGTAGTGGAATGCAGACAGCCATAACCAAGGAATAGATGTCTATGACTGTGGAGTGCAGAGGAAGAAAATAACATAATTGCCAGCCCACTGACCCCGACAGCAAGTTATAGATTGCAAATAGCTTACTGTAGCCCCAGTACTGTTTAGACTCTAAGGCACTATGTCCTGTCATTATTCATCCCATGGAACTGCATGTGAATTGATGGTAGGTTGTGACCTTTATTAAATTGGCTTTAAACTGTACTATTGAAAATGTTCATCATGAAAATGTTGCCATTTACCATTTGCAATCAACACAATTCCACCACAAGTCCCATACTGTTAATTACTTGTAAATAGCAGCATTTTAGTGGAAACTGTCATGGTATCTTCCTTAGCTAAAATAAGAGAGACAAGGTGTGTGAGGAAATATCTTTTATTGGAACAACTTCTGTTGGTGAGAGAGACAAGCTTTTGAGCCACAGAAGAGCTCTGTGCTGCTAGAAACTAGTCTCTTTCATCAACAGAAGTTGTTCTAATAAAAGATACTACCTCATCTACCTTGTCTCTGTAATATCCTGAGAATGACATCTCTACAACTACACTGCATACCACAATGAACTGAAATAGTACACTTACTGTTACAATAAGGTGTCTCTGTAGGTCGCGGCAAACAGGGTGATGAATTATTTTCAGAGCAATGGTGAATCAAAAAACCCTGTTATGCACCACAACAGTCATACTCCTTTCATCTTGGATTCAGTTTTATATAATTATGCTACTTTAAGAAGGGCAGCATTATATTGCTGTCTGTTACTGAAGTGCAAAACACCTATTGAAAACGTGTCTGGAATTTAAGACAGCCTTTATCCTAAAATGTTAAAGCATGACTTGTTACATTTTAACCTTTAGGTTGTCAGCACCTTGATTCTTAGAGTCTGAGTGCACAAGCAGATACAGAACAGCTTTCAAGGTTAATGTGTAAGAAAACTATTTCAGTATATTTTTAACTCTAGAATACTCGTGACAGTCTCTCTCCCCTTCAATGACTTCTCCATGTGCTCACATGTTAATCCCTTTTGCTCAGAGGCAGGCTGTTTCAGTGCCTTTCTTATCTGAAATTGTGAAATTGCATCCAAAGTCTTGTAGTTCACATCAGCATTTCCTAATTTTTGTTAGACTGGAGAGATCTGAGTTAACCAGAGACTTCATCCCACAGCAAAAGTGCAGCTGCTCTTCCAGCTAGTAGTAGCAGCCATAGGAGTTAAGATACTACAGTTGTTGCCATTACAAAGCTGTCATTTACCTCCTGGATTCCACTTTCCTACCCACAACCCTTCACCTGCTTAAAGCCCTAAAAATTGCAAGTGCATTTGGTTGTGGGACAGCAATGTGGAGCAGGATACCTTCAGACAGGTATCCAATATAGTAGGCAAAACATATTTTCACAAAAAATAGTGAAAAAGCCATAAATCTGGTAGATTTCAAATCCATCAAAGAATAAATATATATTAACATCTGTGCACTAAGTCAGGCAAACTATATGATATAACTATATATACAGTTGCTTAATAGTGAAACCAAAGGATTACTCAAATGTTCAATCCCACCAGATCTACCACTCAGCCTCATAGTCTGCTTGGATTTTATCAGTAGGCTCAAGAAGAAACGCCACTCCAAAGATGTAAGATGTACTTTGGTGCATGTCGATAATCATCCCTCAGCCTTTGAAAGATACCATGTTTATCTTGAAAAATCAGATACCACAGCAACAAAGAAACAAGTTTCTTTGAAGCTTTTGGCCTTGGAATTTTGTAACAAAGATCAGCTGATTAGAATTTCAAGTTGTAACAATACAATATACCTTGATTTTGTATAAAGAAAAGGAGGACTTGTGGCACCTTAGAGACTGCTCAAATAAATTTGTTAGTCTCTAAGGTGCCACAAGTCCTCCTTTTCTTTTTGCAGATACAGACTAACCCGGCTGCTACTCTGAAACCTTTATTTTGTATAGTATCTTTTTTACAAGCTGTAAACCAAAATGCTTCTTGGGGCTAAATAATACAATTACTATATTAAACAACAAATAAAAGCAGAAGGCAAAAGAGTAGATGCCAGCTCTGGGGGCTTTGGGGTAACAGGCCCTGACAGAAGAAAAGACATTCTCCTCTCAGTCCAAGGGAAATAGGACAGTCATAGGGTAGGCACCCTTGGCCATAGGTCCAAATGAGAAAATAAACACAGGGCAGCTTCCTTGTGCCTAGATCAAATGGACAAAACAAACAAAAATAGATACTGGTTAAAGTCCTGGGCACAAGCACAGACCTCATCCAAACAGGACAAGCAGATAATTAGCAAGTTGTTCTTCTTCCCTCACCCGTATCTGGTTCAGGAGTCTCCTGGGCACAGACGATACTAGAGAACAACTCCTCTCCTTTCTGCCACTGCAGAGCTACAGTACTACCACTCAGCAGTTTAACAAGCTACTCCTGCCAGATGCTCTCTCGAGATGCTCACCTCAGGTAGTCTTTCCAGGCTAGATTGGTCTCCATAGTTTAAAACTCACGTGAACTGGCTTCATCACAGAGGTAGATACTAAAGACATGGAGTGGATCTGCACCCCTGAGAATTATACCTTTCTTTACTCCTGGTCTATGCAGTCCACCCTCATGGATAGCCCTTTTGGGCCTGATTCTCCGTTGCCTTATACTTGGTGTTTTCATTTTACACTTATGAAAGTGGGTGTAAAACACCACAGATCTTACCTGTGTACATTAGGAGGGACATCTCACTTTTTCAAAGTATTGGGTATTTGCTTCCAGTGGAAGCAGACTATAAAACCATGTTAACCACTAGTCTGATCCAGTATGACTAATCTTATTTTCCTACACGTGGGCCTAAATTTTCCTAAAGTGTTTTTCTTTGTGTGTAAGCACATGTATGTGTATGTAACTACAGTGATGTATATGCAATTTAGAGGCTATGTGAAGCCAGTGATATTTTGTATTTCCAGTGCCATTGCCTGGAACTAGCATTGCCTTCTCTGTTACATGCAATTTCTTTTAAAAATGCTTTGGGCATTAAGCTTGTATTCCACGAGTAAACAAGTTTTGCTGACACAAAGGCCATTTTAAACTGTATCAGGGACTTCGTGCTTTGCATGACAAACCAAAGAATGTGCAATGTTCGCTGACACAGTGCAGACCCTGTTATTTAGTTTTTCATGTCTAATAGCAACAATGTCAACATAGTCTCAAGATTGACCTACTCTAGTAACCTCTGAGTTTAGGATTTGGAGATTGGATAGATAAAACTAATGACAGTTTTCAAACTCCAAAAGTAGATTCAGATGTTTGTACTACTTGACCAGCTTGAAGGTTTTGGTATGGCTATCGAGCAAATGTAAGAGAGTTGGGGCTGAGGGTGGGTTCTTTTTCGTTCTGTGTGCAGTCTGAAATGTCTCATTTTTAAAAAGGTGAACACTACAATCACAACTCCTATGGCCTGTGTTGTATTTTTGGTAGTTGGACGTTACACAGTGCAAAGGACTTTTTACTTAAAAAAACAAAACAAAACCAAAAAGCCTCAGTGCTCAAGAAAGGCTCCAGGAGACTGAAGACTTTAGCCATTGTCAGGTATAACTTGGGTGATAGTGGTGCAAGCTTTCCCACGCTGTTCTGCAAATATGTGCCACTGCTGACCTAGAAAAATGTCTAGGGGTGAGGAAGTAATGTAGTTTCCATGCCCATTCAATGATTGGCTTCCCTGCTGAGGTGACCAAGAAAGCCATTTAGTTGGTGTTTTTTTTGCAATGGGGACACCTTTCCATTAGAAAATGGATAAAGACTGCCAGCTCATTTCACTCACTGTGATATAATGACCCATGTGACTCCTGTTGATAATCAATGGGAGTGGCATGGCATGAAGCCCATCCAGCACTTGGAAAATGTACCATTATGGTTTCTAATTTACCTCACTTGGACAGTGCATTAGGCCTTTCAGTGGAATTGTCCACAGTTGTATATTACACTAGTGTGGGATGACAATTATATGTGCTTGTATACCGCAGATATCTTCAGTTTGTATGTGATTCCATGTGATTTGTTAATAAACAGATTTAATCTCCATAGCCAGGAGATTAGCATTTTACACAGTGACTTTACTTCTGCAATAATTTTACTGCTTTGGAGGTTATATAAAAAACCAGGCAGTCCATACCCATGATAAGCTTGTCTCTCATCTTCCTTGCTGTGCTTCTTTTGGCTCTTTTATCTCCTTATCTTGAGTTGTCTTCAGCAGACTTGCTCAATTTTCAGTAGATTTACACCAAAACTTGCTTGCTTCAATTCAGTGAATAAGAATTGTCTTAGGAATTTGGACACTAAATGTCCAAGAGAAACTATAAGGGTTATATACCAGTGAAGTCAATCCCTGTATATTTACATATTTCATAAACAACCACAACAACAAGTATACATTAGACAATTATAATTAATTACACACTATATACTGGAAAATCGTTGTCAAGGCAGCTGCTGTAAGACCGTGTAACTTATTTTTTATTAGTAGCAGCTTATTCTATTCAGTTTTTCAGTAAAAAATAAAGCACTTGATTCTGATTTAGCTTACAGCTGTGTAACTTGAGGATAACTCCTTTGAAGTAAATGGAGTTTTATTATTGTAAAATGGGTATAAACCCCAAAGAGCTTCAGGGAACTCTCTCATTGTGGGAGGCCACGCTCATATATATCAGTATATCAGGGTATGAATGGTCAATAAGTAGCCAGAGGGTCACACTGGACATTGGAACTCTAACCTTTGAATAGTATCTGAGCAAAGCCCCAGGTCTGAGTTTAAAGAATTTTAGCTGCTTAACTTTTCAGTCCTTAACTGACAAGGGCTCAATTCAGCTGATACTGCTGTGTTGCTGCACGCTCTCATCTGCCTCAAGTAATTTTTTATCTTCTTAATCTAATTTTAACTTTAAATTGCATCTTCACTAATTATTCTGTAGTTTGAGTTTACTTTTCATTTGCGTCAACTAATTAATCAGTCTGTTTTTAGAGGAAATGAGAAATTCCTTTGAATTTTCCAAACGGATATCTCCCCCCACACTCCCCGCAATTCATGTTCTAGCATAAGTGATTTATTCTTGTCATGAAATTTGCAACCAGGAATGTTCATAGGAACATTCCTGGCTGTGCTTTGCATTTGTTTGAAACTATTGATACAGATAGGTGCTATCTGATTTGCATTTAAACAGTTCTGGGTTTCACTTGTTTTTTGTTAAGTTTTTTATTTTCAGAGATAATAAAATGCAGGCCCAATACTAGATTCCATGTGCACTCAAATCTGAAGTTGTAAAGCTGTTTTGGATGTGTAAGGAATGAGGGATCAGGACTGTATATTTTTTGTAGAATAGTCAGAGATGAAAACATAGAAAAAGGAGAGGAAAAGGAGGAGGGAAAATCATAAATGAGTAACCATCACAAACAAATAGATATTAACATCCTCATGCTGGGTGAAGTTCAGATACTACTCTTGTCTTCAAATTGGAGTAGCGGTGAGCATCGTACTGTTCCGTGTCTGACTACAATAGGTATACAATTGCTGGTTTTTTAGATTATCCGTATGTGATATCTCATGACACCTAATGTGCCAGCTCTAAGTTTTGCTGTGTTTTTTTTAATATCACTAGCTACATAGTGGTGCCTTAGGATTAGTGGCAAACTGTAATAGTCGGCATTCTTTACTATTGTGGAGGAGGGTTGGGTTTTGCCCATAGCCCCAAAATTTAGACAGTGAACTCTGATATCTTCTCTGT